TTTTTTGTTTGTTTTGTTTTGTTTTGTTTTGTTTTTTGTTTTTTTGGTACCAGGAATCAAACTCATGACCTGAAGCTTGCCAGGCAGGCACTTATGCTGCTGAGCTATATCCCCTGCCCTGAGAGTACCACTATGTCACTGAACTTGGTTACTAAATTGAGAAGTCTTTTGGTGGAGTTTTTGGGGGTCTTTTATGTAAAGTATCATATCATCTGCAGATAATGATAATTTAACTTCTTTCTTTCTTATCCTGATTCCTTTTATTTCTTTCTCTTGTCTAATTGTTTTGGGTAATTGTTCTGTCTAATTGTTCTAATTGTCTCACTGTTCTGTCTAATTGTTCTGGCTAACTATAGTGAATAAGAGTAGTGATACTGGACATCCTTATCTTGTTCCTGATTTTAGAGTGAAAGTTTTCTGTTTCTATCCATTTAGTATGGTGTTGGTTATTGGTTTGTCATAGATGGCTTTTATCAGATTAAGATAAAGATCATTTATTCCAATTTCCTATAGGTTTTTTTTAAATCATGAATAGGTGTTGGATTTTGTCACATGCTCTTTCAGCATCTATTGAGATAATCATACAGTTTTTGTCCTTGGCTCTGTTAATATGGTGTATTACATTTACTGATTTATGTATGTTGATCCATCCCTGCATTCCTGGGATGAATGCTATTTGGTCATGGTGTATAATTCTCTTGATGATTTGCTGCAATCTGTTTGCTAGTATCTAACTGAGGATTTTTTGCATGTATGTTTGTTAGGAAAATTGGCCTGTAGTTCTCTTTCTTACTTGGGTCCTTCTCCAGTTTTTGTATCAGGGTAATACTTGCTTCCAGGAATGAATTTGGGAGTTCTGGTTCCTTTTCAGTTTCATTAAAGAGTTTGAGAACTAGTGTCATTAGATTGTCTCTAAATTTCTTGTAGAATTCAACACTGAATCTGTCAGAGCCTGGGTCTTTCTTTGTTGGTAGGTCTTTAATTACATCTTCCATTTCATTGACTGAAATTGGTTTATTTAGAATTTTTATGTCTTCTTGATTCAGCTTTGGTAACTCATATGTATCTAGGAATCTGTCCATTTCTTCTGTATCTTCCCTCATTAGAATACAGGTTTTCAAAGTAAGGATTGATGATGCTCTGGATTTCCACAGGATCTGTTACAATTCCTAATTGCTTTGATTTGGGTCTTTTCTTTCCTTTTTTGATAAGTTTGGCTAAGGGTTTGTCAGTTTTATTTAATCTTTCAAAGAACCAACTCTTCACTCATTGATTCTTTGTATTGTTTTCTTAGTCTCCATTGCATTAATTTCTGCTCTGATTTCTATAATTTCCTCCCTTGTATGAGTTTTGGTCTTGACTTGCTCTTCTTTTTATAGAAGCTTGGGGTTAAATATTAAGTTGTTTATTTGACCTTGCTCTGTTTTTCTGATTTGGGAATTTACCCCTATAAATTTCGCTTGTAGGACTGCTTTCATTTCATCCTGTAAGTTCCTATATGTTGTACTGGCATTATCATTTAATTAAAGAAACTGTCTAATTTATTTTTAAATTTCATCTGTGATTTCATTGGTTGTTCAGGATGGTGATATTTAATTTGTATATGTTATGAAGTTCTTGTGATTTCTTTTCCATTGATTTTCAATCTCACTATGCTATGATTTGATAATATGCAGGGTATTATTTGAATTCCTTTGTATTTACTTAAGCATGTTCTATGAGCTTGTATATGATCTATTTTGGAGACCACCCTATATGCAGCTGAGAAGAATGTGTATTCTTATGTTGTGTGGATCACTCTGTAGACATCTACCAAGTGCATTTGTTCAAAAATTTGGTCCAGTTCTAATATGTCATTGTTGATTGTTTGTCTAGTTGATCTATTTATTTGTGACAGTGGAGTGTTACAGTTGTATTAGTGCTTATTTGATTTTTCATGTCTGTTAATTTTTTTTTTTTTTTTTGTCTTTTTGAGACAGGGTCTTGCTATGCAGTTCAGGTGGTCTGCAGCTTACTTTGTAGCACAGGCTGGCCTCAAACTTGCAATGATCCTCCTGCCTCAGCCTCCTGAGTGCTGGGATTACAGGTGAGTACTACCATGCCCAGCAATATTTGTTTTATATGGTTGGGTATGTCAGTATATGGTACATATCTATTTATGATTATTTTCCTTTCCTTTTGGATTATTCCCTTTACAAGAAGGTAATAACGTTGTTTGTCTTTCTTAATTAATCTTGACTTGAAATCCACTTGGTCTGAAAATAGAATTACTACCTTTGATTTTTCCTGGGTTCTTGTCATATGGAGTATTTTTTTCCATCCTCTGACTTTCAACCTACACATTTCTTTTCAAATTAGAT